TTTGCACAGGAATTGCACTATATTCTTGTGCAAATCACATGTGAATTGTATGGAGTGCGATTTGAGCCATACATTATGCATGGCTCAAATTGTACTGCATCAAAAAGGTGCAGGACTTTTTTTGGGTCCACACTAGAATTGGATCACATGGGTATTCACACCTATGCAATCTGATTCTGCACATCGCACTGTTTTGCGCACCAATTTCAGGGTGTTAATACACACAGCGGTTCGCATGAACGGGCTGAGATTTTGATGCGGTGCAGAATTCGCTCAGAAAACGCTGAGAATTCCAGACCACATCAGGGTGAACCTAGGCTCAGACTTTTCTATTACAATCTTCCTTTGCAAGATATTGTGGATGTGCCGACTTTCTGTTGTGTAGGGGAGGTGGGACACCCCTGAGTTGAGCCCTCCCCGTGCCTTCCTCCTACCTTGTATCTGCAATTTTCTTGAATTTAGCTTTACCAGTGAATACCCCTTAACTTTTTTTTTTTATAAGCCGGTTTTGATTTTTTAGATCTTGAGTTATGCGGTTTTAGAAGTTGAAGATACAATGTAACCTTATATAGACTTCTACAAAGAGCGCCGTTTGGCGACTACTAAACACACTGCCACACATGGCAACCAGGATGCTGGTCTCGGGTCACCTGGTTAGTCGCTACGAGTGTCCGTTCTGCTCACTTCTCATTGCTCTGTTTTAAAGGCTCTGATTGGCTAGAGAAGCTGACTGTCTAGGCTAATGTCCTTCATAGCATTTCTGTACACCTGAAAACAGAAAATCACAATGATTCCTTTAGAGGAGCATAAGCTACCCAATCATAGTGCTTTATTAGCTACACACACCACAATCTGATTGTACAATCACAGAACTACACATTTTGTAGCCCTACCCAACAATTTTATGGCCTATGCAGTATGTAAGGGTATACCATAAAGCAGAGTTCTACTCAAAAGGGGAAGCTGTGCTTATTTGCCTCCCCCCCCCTTCATTGCCATATTTGGCACCTTTTGGGGGGCAGATCTGTTTGACAGGTACCTGCTCCCACTTCTGGCTCAGTTCGCCGTGGCAAAGTGAGACAGAAGTTCAGTCCCCTCTTCCCTCCTGCAGTCTCCTAGGAACTGTCACAGGTCCCAAAATACTGCTGGACCAATTGGGAGGCACAGTGAGTGCATGCACAGTGGGCACTGGGCTGTCACCACCTGGTGCCCACAGTTGAGACGCCAGCGCCATGGAGGAGAGAAGGGATGGGGCAGGTGAGCACATCGCTGGACTCGGACAGGTAAAGTCAGCAGATAGGTTTGTAGCCCCTGACTTAACCTCCCTAGCGGTCCGATTATGAATTTGTGCTCAAAGCGGTACTTTTTTTGCATGGAAATATGTCGTTTTTTATTGTAGGCCTGTAATTCTTAGGAATAACTCACTGAAATCTGTCCGAACAAGAGTCTAGTAAACATCCCGGGTAGGATAAAATTTGAAACATCAAATCATAAATTATAATTTAATAAATCAAAAATATATTCTAATAAATTTAATTCAATAATATAATCAAACCAAAAACACTGAAATTTGAAATATAGCGCCAAGTTCGCACATCGCTGAGCAAAGTCGCAAAATCATTTTCAGGGTCTGATGAGGAATTTCCCCCACGAATCATTATCACTCAATTCTGCAAGTGGTTCTGATTTACTAATCGCTGTTCTCTAGCCGGTCTAAAACCGCTTTTGACCTAAAGGGACGCTTTTTGGACGCCATGGACGTTTCTCAGTTTCCAGGCAGAAAGAACAGACAAAACGCAGGCAGGGCGCCGGACAAAGCACTCGGGACAAAATGTATGTGAAATGGTTTGATACAGGAATGTTATACTATGTGATTTTAGTAAATGTCACTTTTTAAAATGTTTAAAATTTCCCTCCAGTTCCATCCCCGTACGTCCCGACGTCGTAGGGAACGGAACCCGGATGCCGGCATCAGCCGGAGGACATTACAGGGGACACTGCAGGAGGGACATTGCGGGAGCGCAGGACAAGGTAAGTGATGGAGGGATCCCAGAGCAACGCTGTAGTGTATTCCCGAGTGTAGCTCGGGGTTACCGCTTGTGGTGCTGAAACTTTACCCCGAGCTACACTCAGGAATACCGCCAGGGGGTGTAAACAGCTGGAACTCCATTTTCATTTCTCCATACAGTAATTGGACAAGTGTCTTCTACCAACTATGTAGAGGAGCCTGCCTGACCAGACAGATGGACTGGATAGATTAGGTAGGTCCTCATGTTACATCGCTTCCGTACATCTAAATTTGACTTCACAGATTGCAGTGCGATGAGTCCTATTAAACACACAATCACAAGGGGCGTTAAATTCAAACCGGGACCTGAAACTTCAGGAATAAAAGGGATGCCAGTGTGGCGGTACTACACGCAGTAGTGTCCTATCACGGGTAGGCAGCACATATGTCATGGGTTAGTCCAGGTGTCAGTTAAGACAGCAGTCACCGGTCACACCCCTGCGATTTAAAATCACATGATCTGTGTGCAATTTCTGAAGACTGACACTTTAAGATTCAACGATTTCTTGCAATTTTAATTATATTTTATGTATGAACATCGCAACAAAATTGCAAAAAATGTTACGCAAGAACTACTTTAGAAATGGCACGTGTCAAGACCCTGACATTCACTAGATGCCATTTCAATTCACAAATCGCACAGCTATGACTGGGCACTGTGTGTGGTGATGAAATTTGTGAACGAAGGCGTAAAACTTGCAGATATCTACAGAAGACTTCAAGCACAGGACGGTGATGACACTCAGCCGCAGGAAGACATGTGAACGGTAATCGTTTCGAAGATGACTACTTCCATCAGTGATGACGCCGGCCGTGGTGGTTCCCGGCCCACATCAGTCATTCCTGTGAGCATTCAGCACATAGAACGCCCGATCCTGGATAATCGATGCGTAACCGGTCATGAAATTGCACAAGAGATGAATCTTTCTGTGGGAATGGTGAACACAACGATGACACAGTGAAGCCGGCTGTCCTAGGATGGTTCAGGTGAACAAATCTTTCCAGGAATTAAATGCTGGGATAAGTGTAAATGTAGCAGGGGAGGATGTCAAAAAACAAATGCAGTTTTGAAATGTGTTTTTACTACATAAACTCAAATCCCGGTGTGACCTGAACGCCCTCGTATTGCAGCTTACCAGTCATATCAGCTGCATTAGTTTTTAGACTTTTCCTGTTGTCACCTGGTGACATGGCCAATCACACGCCTCCTGTACTAGAGCTCCGCCACTCTGGATGAAGGAGCACAGGGGGTGGCATTGGGGGGGGGGGGGGGGGGTAGATGGACTAACAGTATTAAATATAACTGAAGCCAAGCTCCAGCTCACACTTCATATACAGTTACAACCGTTTTGTTTCTTTTGAGATAAAGGTTTTACAGAAATCTGATCATTGTAAGCACCCGTCAGTGGTGAATGGTTTGTCTCATCCCTATAAAGACAGATTCATCTAGGAGAGACAGCTCTTGAAAAATAGACTTACTGGCTGGATCACCAGATAATAGAAGGCTAATGCATTAATCACATCTAAGCTGCAATAAAATAAAGGTTTCCTTTTAGGTGAATACCGATTTCTCTGCATTAAAGATTGGTAAGGAACAGGGGCGGACTGACCATTCGAGGGCCCGGGGTCAGTAGGGGGCCCCATAAAATGCCCCTTGTACCTTTTATAGGCTTTTTTGGGTGTGTTTTGAGTTTGGGCAAGGACACAGGGGCCCCATGATCCCCAATTGCCCCGGGCCCTACGAGTTGCCAGTCCGCCCCTGGTAAGGAGATTGTACAATCAGATAGATTGTGTAGCATAGACTTGTGCTGACCATACAATCTCCACCAGTCATAAACAGGTCCCACCTGATTGGATACTAAAGGAATGGATTGTACAATCAACTTTAGAGGTACCAACATGATGAGCGATCTAAAGGAAATTATACAATCTGATTGTATAACAGCTTTACGCTGTCCATACACTGATTGTACAATCCTCATTACTGATGTAACAGAAAAGGCGGCAATCCAGTCAAGCAGGCCCTTTCATTTGAAGATTGGTCTAGAAGATTGTATAGTGTATGGGTAGCATAAAGCTCTGTATTCTACAATTGTACAATCTCTTTTTAGAATTGATCAATGAAACGTAAGGCCCTGCTTGCCTGGACTGCCTCCTTTTCCCTGCACTACATAGACAGGTAACGAAGACGGTGCAGCATAAATCTATGTCATACAATCTGATTGTACAGTCTATCAGTTATAAAAAGCTCGCACCCGATCGGAGACTATGGGAATGGATTGTACAATCAACTTTAGATGTACCCAAATGATTATTAATCTAAAAAGGAGATTATACAATCAGATTGCATAGCATACAGAGAGCTTCAAGCTGCCCATACACTATACAACCTCCTTTAGATCAATGAAATGGAAGGGGCCGCTTGATTGGATCGCCTCCGTTGCTCTGCATTACATAGATCTGGTAATGAACATCGTACAGTGTATGGGGTGTTTTGTATAGGCCTTGTGAAGGCCTGCCATGTACCAATCAGTCCATATAGAGCCTATGACAGGGCGAGATGGAAGAGAGGAGGGAATCAGACACCCTGGTTGTGTATAGGAGTAGTAAGGAGTGTCAGCTCTTGGGCCCAGGACGAAGTCCAGACGTCACACCCGGCAGGGAAAGGGTGACATATCTACACAACTAAGTACACGTCAACCAAACTTAAAGCCCCGCCCACTAGAAGAGTCAGCGCTCCCCCATTGGATGACGTCTCCTTGCGTCCCCGCTCATTGGCCGGCTCGCCCCGTCACTCCGTACAGGTGACCCGCCCAGATGTCCCCGGAATGAAGGGAAAGGAGGGGGTACCGCACCCCCCCGAGCTTTACAGTACCGAGCGATAAAAGGAGCGCCCGGTTACCCCACCCCCCTTCCGCCGGCTTCAACTCACAGAACTCCACCAGCAAGTGTTCGTTCTTCAGCGCCTCCTCGAACGTGTCCTTCTTCAGCACCAGCACGTGGTTCTCCTCCTGGATGTCGGCCCGGACCAGGAGGACGACGGCGGCGGCCGCCAGCAGGGTGAGAGCGGGGCGCAGCATGACCAAGACTCTCCGGGGTGTACGGGACGTGGCGCTGTGGTGAAGGAGGCCCGCTCTCTGCGCATGCGCTTTATATCGGCTAGGCAGCTGCTCGTGGTGCGCTGTGACTGGGCCGCGCGCCGTTCCTGAGCCTGATAGGACAGGGGGCGGAGCCGGGGAGGGGTGGGAGGAGCGCTGATTGGCTGCTCGGAATGCTCTGTCAGGAGAGTCTTCCTACCCGCCTGCCTGCCCGGAGTTCCTGACAGGACCCTCCTTCTGTATATATGGACGTGACTGGGGGAGCATAGACTCCCCACCGAGACCCCCTCCTCCCCCTCCACTACTACTACGAGGGGACACGTCATGTCTGAGCCCATCCTCCAATGTTTATCCTGAGAAGAGGGCAGGTTGCCCATAGCAACCAGCATCCCTATAGCTACCAGTCAGCTTCCTCATAGCAACCAGTCAGCTTCCTCGTAGCAGCCACTCGGTTCCCTCTTAGCAGCCAGCATCCTCATAGCAACCAGTTAACTTCCTCATAGCAACCACTCAGTTTTCTCTTAGCAGCCAGCTTCCTCATAGAAACCAGTTAACTTCCCCATAGCAACCACTCAGTTTCCTCTTAGCAGCCAGCATCCCCAGAGCAACCACTCAGATTCCTCATAGCAACCAGTCAGCTTTCTCATAGCAACCAGTTAGCTTCCTCATAGCAACCACTCAGTTTCCTCTTAGCAGCCAGCTTCCTCATAGCAACCAGTTAGCTTCCTCATAGCAACCACTAAGTTTCCTCTTAGCAGCCAGCTTCCTCATAGCAATTAGTTAACTTCCTCATAGCAACCACTCCACTCACTTTTCTCTTAGCAGCCAGCTTCCTCATAGCAACCAGTTAACTTCCTCATAGCAACCACTCAGTTTTCTCTTAGCAGCCAGCTTCCTCATAGAAACCAGTTAACTTCCCCATAGCAACCACTCAGTTTCCTCTTAGCAGCCAGCATCCCCAGAGCAACCACTCAGATTCCTCATAGCAACCAGTCAGCTTTCTCATAGCAACCAGTTAGCTTCCTCATAGCAACCACTCAGTTTCCTCTTAGCAGCCAGCTTCCTCATAGCAACCAGTTAGCTTCCTCATAGCAACCACTAAGTTTCCTCTTAGCAGCCAGCTTCCTCATAGCAACCAGTTAACTTCCTCATAGCAACCACTCACTTTTCTCTTAGCAGCCAGCTTCCTCATAGCAACCATTTAACTTCCTCATAGCAACCACTCAGTTTCCTCTTAGCAGCCAGCATTCCCAGAGCAACCACTCAGATTCCTCATAGCAACCAGTCAGCTTTCTCTTAGCAACCAGATAGCTTCCTCATAGCAACCACTCAGTTTCCTCTTAGCAGCCAGCATCCTCATAGCAACCAGTTAACTTCCTCATAGCAACCACTCAGTTTTCTCTTAGCAACCAGCTTCCCCAGAGCAACCAGTCAGCTTCCAGGGCCCTTGTACCTGTCACAGGGAGCCGGTCACCAGCAAGGCACTGCAGGTAAAGGCTCAGAATCCTCTATATGACGTGTACATGAAGGGGGGATTTCCTTCCATAAATTATACTTTATTGACTGGTAATTTGAAATAATTGTGACAAAACCAGGAAGTGTGTGCTGGCCCAGCTCCTCTCCCCCTTCTCCTGGAAGAGCCCCTAGCATAGCCCCTCCCTTCTTGTACATAATGATATTTAGACTCTTGTAAAGGGCCAGGAGGCTTGGCAGGAAGGGGTTAAGCTGTAAAAGGATGGGGGTCCACACATGCCAAGTTGAGGTGCTTTAGAAATGATCTCCACTGTTGCGTTCACCGGGCAGTACCACCTGGCAAAACAACCTATTCAACTGAATAAGACCACATGCTGGAATGGCGTGCAGTTGAGGCGCAGTAGTGCAGGTTTTTTGAGGTTGAAGCAGGCAGCAAGGAAGCAACATGTCACCTCCTCATCGCCTGCCAAACATCCTCTGAAAAGCAATCTTAGAAGGAAAACTTCTCTAATTGAGCCCTTATGCCATTTTTTTCCCAGAAAACATACTCAGGCACCCATAGAATACAGCGTTCTCCTGCTCTAAGCCATCGCCATACTCCAGGTCAGGCGCTGCCACCTTCTCTTCCTATGTACTCTGGAGCTGGCGGTCTCTTCCAGGTTCTTGTAGCCGGCACACAACAATTCATCGCCAGGTCTGCCACTAGTTGCTTTTTGTTCCACGGATATGTGTCTGGAGGGGGGAAACTTTTTTGCAGAGTAACTCCACTTTTGTTGAAACACAATGCTCTCTGGGTGGTCAATAGCCAGTTGCCAGTACTGCGGGGTGTAGCTACAGGGTAAGTAATATATCTGTACCGAGGGCAGACTGACAACTCATGGGGCCCCCGGGCAATAGGGAATGATGGGGCCCATGTGTCCTTGCACAAACTCAAAAAAGCCTATGAAAAAGGTTCCAGGGGCATCTCATGGGGCCCCCTACTGACCCCGGGCCCTCGGGCACTGCCTGAGTTTCCAAATGGTCAGTCCACCCCTGATCTGTACATCACTGAGCACATGCATACTGGCACGCCGCTCATCCGACCACTGTGTCCACAGGACACAGCGGATTGCGGCTCCTTGTACCTGGCTGCTTTGATTGGCTGGGGGATCATGTGATCTGTATGTAATCACAATGTCAAGAAAGCTGTTACGAATGAATTTATAGGTAAAAATGTATAGTAATACAGGCCACTCAGAAAAGATAGGATTGGCGATTGTCTAAAAAGCATCCGCTTTTGGTGAAGGAGTGTGGAGCCTCTAGTCCAGGGGGAGGCAACCTGCGGCTCTCTAGCTGTTGTAGAACTACATTTCCCATGAGGCATTGCAAAGATTACAAAACTGACAGTTACAGCTATGACTTGCAGAGGCATGATGGAACTTGTAGTCCTGCGGCTCTCAGGTTGCCTACCCCTGCTCTAGGCGAATGGGGAGATCCGGCGTCTGGCGGTGATGCTGGTGGCTTGGGAACGCACTTACCTCTGGCTTTCTCTGGACATCGACTCCCTATACACATCCATACCACATGAGATAGGTCTGCAAGCAGTACATCATTTTCTCAATACTGATTCACTTCTACATCCCCGACGGGCCCAATTCATTTTAGACACCACAAAGTTCTCTAACCCACAATTAGTCTGAGTTCTTAGGAGATTTTTATCTCCAGATACATGGTACAGCCATGGGAGCCAACTTTGCCCCAAAGTATGCCAACCTGACCATGGGACTCTGGGAGCAACAATACGTCTGGAGCAACAACCCGTTTGTCAGTCATTTAATTGTTTATGGTCGGTATATAGACGATATCATCATCATTTGGGATGGTCCCCCTACACAAGTCATACCCTTTGTCCAACATTGCAGTAGCATGGGTCTATCCTTTACATCAGTCTGCGATCCAGACAAACTGCCATTTTTAGATCTCGAACTTTGCCATGACGCCAATACCATTTTCTCCCAAAACTACACCAAACCTACGCCAGGCAACTCCTACTTACATTATAAAAGCTGCCATCATCCCCGATGGATCAGCAATATCCCCAAAGGCCAATTTTGTCGTCTCAAACATAACTGCACCAGAGAACAAGACTATATTACGGCCATCTCCTTAAAAACAAATTTCTCAACAAACATTATCCTGACACCCTAGTCGAAGAAGCCTTTCCCTTGTACCTCAAACAACTGCCAACCACCCAGAACATTGCATCTAGTCAAGAACAAGCTTCCCGAAGATTCACCGCACAATTCCATAATCAATTCCGTAGAATGAAACACATACTCCAAAAACAGTGGCCAATATATATTACAGGTACTTATATAGCTCTGTCAATGTATGCAGCAGTTTACATATATATATTGTACATTCCCATCAGTCCCTAACCCTCAAGGAGTGTACAATCTAAGGTCCCTAACTTACATTCATACATACTAGGGCCAATTTAGACAGGAGCCAATTAACCTACCAGCATGTCTTTGGAGTGTGGGAGGAAACTGGAGAACCTGGAGGAAACCCACACAGGCACAGGGAGAACATGCAAACTCCAGACAGGTGGTACCGTGGTTGGGATTCGAACCAATGACCCTAGTACTGCCAGGTGGAAGTGCTAACCATTTAGCCACTGTGCTGCCCAGTATTACAAGGAGACCCACATCTTACATCTGTCATCGCAGCCATACCCAAAGTGACTTACAGGCGAGCTAAAAACATCAAAACCAAAATAGCCTCCAGCAAAATTAAACAGCTGCCAACTACAACTTCAGCTCCTCTTACCTTTTTAAACATCAAAGGCATGTGCCAATGTCGCAAACCCAGATGCCTAACCTGCAAACACGTTACCCATGGTCAAAAAGAATTCCACGCCAAAGGGGAAAAATACCCTATATCTGATTTTTTTAATTGCTCCAGCCAGTTTATTTTTATTTATTTCAGGTACTTATATAGTGCTGTCAATTCACGCAGCGCTTTACATATTTATATTGTACATTCACATCAGTCGCTAACTTTCAAGGAGTATACAATCTAAGGTCCCTAACTTACATTCATATGTACACATATTAGGACCAATTTAGACAGGATCCAATTAACCTACCAGCATGTCTTTGGAGTGTGGAAGGAAACCAGAGTACCCAGAGGAAACCCACGCAAGCACAGGGAGAACATGCAAACTCCATGCAGGAGGCACCATGGTTGGGAATCAAACCCATGATCCATTTACTGCAAGGCAGATGTGCTAACCACTAAGCCACTGTGTCGCCACAGTTTGTAGTATATTGTCTCACCTGCCCATGTGGCCTACTCTATGTCAGATGCACCATTCGTACCCTCCGCAAAAGATTTGGTGAACACAGGAGACTAGGAGAAGATGGCTTAGATTCACATAGTGTACCCCGACATTTTCTGGAGAACCATTCTAAATCGTCTGAAGGTGTGGTTTTATTGCATCCATACATTCCAGCTTCCCCACAGCAGAACGCTTCAAACGCCTGTACGAAAGAGAGACCTACTGGATCTATTCCCTGGGAACATTAGTCCCTGGGGGTTTGAACGAAGAATTAGAGATTAGCACTATCATATAATAAATAACGCCAAGGGCCTAA